ATGTAATTGACAACATTTTCTAACTCGTGTAACGCTCTTCTCACAATACTCAATATGGCAGGCGCATTTACTAAGCCGAAAGGCATCCTGATCCTTTTTCAAAGTGGGGGGGGGGTCACTTATAAGATAAATGGGAATATGAATCATGCAGATCTGGAATAAAACCTAAGGGGTGGGGGTCAAAATTTTTCCCAAAAACGAAAGGGGTTCTGGGGGTCCTCTTTCGGGAAAATTTTGATTTCTAGATGGCGGTAAATGACCTTTCTCGACTTTTGAGCTAGGTGTCTAATGACTGTGTTCTTCAAAATTCAAGGTTTCCCCCTCTTGAAAACGGTCAGATAAACTTTCTCACTCTGATTACAGTAAATTGACCGGTTATGTGTGTATCTATACATAAAAAAAAATTAGTAGTTGCATACGTATTCTTTTTTCAATTTTCAATAAATGGATAAGCTCCAAAGAAAAAAGGGGGGGGGGTCTGGGGTTCTCCTCAGGAAAATTTTGATTTCTAGATGGCGGGAAACAAGCTTTTCCGACTTCTGAGGTGTCTTAATTACTTTAAAGTTCTTCAAAATTCAAGGTTTTCCCCTCTTGAATACGGTCAGGTAATTTTTTGCCATTGTTATTACAGGAAATAGGCCTTATGTGTGTATACATACATTAAAAAAAAAAATTAGTAGTTGCATACGTATTCTTTTATTAATGAATCGATAAGGTCCAAAGAAAAGGGGGGACCAGGGGTTCTCCCCCGGGAAAAGTTTGATTCCTAAAAGGCGGGAAATGAGTTTTCCCGACTTCTGAGGTGTCTTTTAATTACTTTTAAGTTCTTCAAAATTCAAGGCTTTCCCCTCTTGAAAATTATTATGATGAATCAATGAACCCAAAGAGAAAAAGGAGGTTCAGGTTCTCCCCGGAGAAATGTTGATTTCTAAATGGTGGGAAATAATCTTTCCCGACTTCTGAAGTATCTTTTAGCGACTTTAATTTAAGTTCTTCAAAATTCAAGGTTTCCCCTTTTGAAAACGGTCAGGTAAATTTTTCTCATTTTTTATTTTATGTCTGTATACATACATAAATAAATGAGCAGTTGCATGCGTATTCTTTTTTCCATGAATCGATAAATACCAAAAAGAAAGAATGGTCCGGAGGTTCTCCCCCGGGAAAATTTTGATTCTTAGATGGCGGGAAATGAGCTTTCCCGACATTTGAAGTGTGTTTTAACGACTTTTATGTTATTCAAAATTTTAATTTTGCTCAAAAACAGTTCACGGGTCCTGAAAAGGTAGGTCTAGAATCTTTTTTTTTGTTGCCCAAAGGAGGGGTCAGGACCCATGACCCCCCTCCCCAGATCCGCCGGTCATGTGATAGATTGAAATAATCCAGCTCTTGTACTAAATGCTGTTGACGCTTTGGCTTTTCCGTTAAGCGGTATCTGCCAATAGCCCTAACTTAAGTCTATTTTAGAGAAATATTGGGCATGGGTCATTTTATCGAATATTTCATCCTGTTGAGGAATAGGTTCGGCGTTGAAAATCGTTAACTTACGCATATCTACACAAGTGCGATACGTACCGTCAGGTTTTGTCACAAGTACCAACGGATGTGTATACGGACTAGTAGAAGGTTCTATAACACCCATTTTGAACATTTTCTCACCTTTTTCATCTACTACTTTCTGAAGCGTATAGGGTATCGGATATGATTTGCTGCGAATTGGTGTTCCGTTATTTGAATATCATGACATCAAAAGTTTGTCCATCCCGGTACATCTGTAAGTATACTCTAATATGTTTGCAAAACATTACTTATTTGTTTCCGCTGCTCCGTAGACAACAATTTACCAATGTGAACATCAGTAACAGATTCCTTCCCAACAAAACCTGGCAAATTGACACAATGTTCATCAAACTTACCTTCAACCATTTCGTCCCCCTCTTCGACAAGCTTCTCATCAATGACGGCCGTACACACAGTTTCTAACACACAGTTACCCATGTCTTGCATTGGGTTTTCTTGTCGTCTATGCCTAGTATTTCCTGTGGAAATTCGCATGAAACGTTTTAACTCTATTCTCCAACTGAAGAATGTAATCCATAGTACCTACCCTCTTTATGGTTTTGAGCGGCCCTTCTAGTGCATCAGTAACTTGTTATTGTCTGTGACAAGTAACAACACTTCTTCACCTACCTGGAACTGCTGTGGCCTCGCCTTCTTATCATAGTTGGATTTGTACATTGCTTGCGATTCTTGTAACTCTTGTCTAGCTATGTCACATGTCTTCTGGAGTCTTTCCTGTAAATATAATACATAATGATACGTAGTCTTCCTTTAGGACTCTTCCACCTCACCTGACCATAATTCCTTCAGTATACAAAGTATACGAACTGTCCTACCATACAGAAGTTCAAAAGGTGAGAACCCAGTACATATTGAGGTGCTTCACGGTATGCAAACAAAAGTAATGAAGATACCGATCCGAATCACGGGGTATTTCCTCACACATACGTCTCAACATCTTCTTTAAAGTGCCGTTGAACCGTTCAACTAATCCGTTACAAGCAGGATGGTAAGGGGTTGTTGTCATACGACGAAAAGATATTAATTTGCTTACCTCTTTCATTACCACCACCGAAGTGAACTGTGTTCCTTGGTCCGTCAAATTTTGTTTCGGAATACCCACTCTAGCAAATACATCTACCATGGCTTCTGCAACTCGCTCAGCTTCTATTCCGAGAAGTGGTATAGCCTCAGGAAATCTGGTGGCATCTACTAATGTTAAGATATAGGCCTAACGATTTCCTCTTTCTGATCGTAGTTGAAGAGAGCCAACTATGAGCGGCATACCTAACGGTACACTTTTAAGATTTTCCTTGGAGATATTTCTTTGACAGCTGTCACAGGACCTACAATATCTTATCACGTCAGATTTTACCCCAGGCCAATAAAAACAAGCAAATATCCGATCACTGGTTTTCTTAGCCCCTGATATCCCCGAGAATTGATTCGTGAGCCAGTTTTAAAACTTGATTCCGGTATTTATATGGCACAACTATTTGACAAAACACATTGCCAAATTCTACTACGGGGACTGAAACTCCCTAAACACAAGTCCGTCAGATGCTAAGACAAATTTGGATTGGCTACCATTCTTCCCCCATTTGACTGTCCTAGAAGAAACAAAGTCTTTTAAGTTGGTTAATGTTTCATCACACTTCTGTGCCTCTATGAGCTTGTCTCTTGTCACAATTTCCGCTAACGGGTTAGGAGTTTTAAAAGACCGAAACGGTTTCTGTTGGTTTTGCTTTTTAGTTTGGCTACGGGTAATCACTGCAGAAACTTTATCAATTGTACTTACCCCTTTCTCATGTTCGTCTGTAGCCTCCCAACGTGGATCCGGGTTATTTGGACCACGTATACCCTGAGTATTACCTAAGATAAGATCATAAATTTGACTTCTCATACACCACACCTCAACTCTTCCTGAAAAATATGTGTTAACCTCAACAATAGCCACTGGTACATCACGTATTGGCCCATCTATTAATACACAAGTCTTGATCTTACCTGTCAATTGTTCATCCAAAACTAAATCTCTTCGGATAACGACGCCACTACATCCACTGTCTCTCAGAACTGTAACTCGGCTCTTTCCAACTTGACCACATACCACAGGCATCGTCCGCAATCCATTTGCATGCTACACCCATCACAGGAGCTTCATGACCACATTCTAAAGTTACATATTGTTTCTGAAGATCTGACTTTACAATCAAACAAGCTGTAGGGTTAAACTTACCATTATATTCATCATGTCTTCGAGTGTCGTTCTATATCGTTTCATATTCCAGTGCTATGACAGATATATACATGGCCGGGAGCCGACCCCTCCCCTCCCACCTCCACTTTTTGGCCGAAAAAAATGTCTATGCAGATATTTGTATGACGGAAAGAAATGCAAGAAAAGAAAGAGTGTGTATTGTTACTGTTAGCTATCATGTGTTTTCTTGTTTTATATTTTTATTTAAAATATATCAATTTCGGACCAACGGGCCTTCGGACCAATGGGCCCTCGGACCAAAGACCCTTCGGACCAAAGGTCTGTACCCGGTCACACTGCCTTAGCCACACTGCGTATCGGCTAGAATTACAGTACGATAAAAACAAAGCAAAATAAGGGTAAGCATATTAATTTCACTTGGTATGCAAATCAATCGTACTTACTACACTTAAAAACAAACTAATCTACCAATAAGATCACATGCTAGTTAAGATATAAGGCAAGTAGGTTCACAAATTTGAATTTAAATTGATGTGAATTTGTTTTGTAGTATTACAATGAACATCATATAGGCTAGCCTATGCCAAGTGATGACAAACAACCAAGTCCGTGGTGCGCAACTAACAAAAATAGCTTTGAGGCTAAATTCTTGACCTCATGTTATTTGAAAATTCGTAACTCCACAACGGAGGGTCGTATCACATAAATATTTCCTGGAAAATGTTCTTAAAATACTATTTTACACCGCTGTAAAAAAATTGTTTTGACCTCTGAAATATAGATGGAAAAAGAAAAGCTATCTAAATAGTGATATTAGAATAGGCCTAATGCAGTACTGAATAGGCCTATTCTATACACTATTTAGATAGGCTTTTCTTTTCCATCTTGATTTCAGAGGTCGAACACATTTTTCAATTTTTTTTTCAATCATACAGTGGTGTAGAATAGTCTTATCGACTAACTAGTGCAACAGAACCTTAATTTCAGTCTTGTGAATTTATGTGATGCCTCTGTAATAGTCAAAAAGAACATTTTATTCAGTTACAATTCAGATCGTTCCCAAACCGTGTTAGCATGTAGTGAGATCATCGTGCCAAACTATTACAAAGAAGCGATTCGATTCAGTGCTCCATTGCTTGGTTCACCAAACACGTCATTTAAACAAAAAGTATATATTAAACTAATTCCTCCATGATATATCGTACATTTTGGATTAGTTTATTGTCAAGTTGGCAGTGACAGTACTTTACGTCCATATAGGGGATCGTTGACACCATTGTCCTTTCAACAGATAATGAGCATGGACAAGAGTATGTGTTTGCCGCTCTTGGTATTTCTATTAACGGTACGTATACAATAAGTTCTGGAAAATTTAAATTTTGTTTATAACTTGATGCATTTTCCGTATTATGCTGTATTATCACAGATGCTATAGGCTTACACTGAAAGCGGAAAACTATAAATTTCATAATTATGATCAGGGGATGGTTGGGCGCAATGCTCGGTGAATTGGTAATTATAAAAATAAAAAACCCGGTTACAACAAAAAGCTATTTTATTACTTTAGCACATAGGTCTAAGTCAATGCTATTCGTACTTTAAAATTATGGTGGCATGTTTTATACATTGTAACATGACAATTGGCGATAGCTTTTAAACAGCTAAAGTAGGCACCGCCAGTTTTTTTGGTGTTTTTTTTTAACGCATTACGGTACGGTATTCTAATAATGTTAATGTATAGGAATAAAGACAAATAACCATTAGTTAAAATGTGCACTGAGTTTAAGTACAAATAGTAAGAATGTCACTCCAAAAATTTCGAAGGCCATTTTATTCTAAGTTTGGCTTATATTTAAGCATGATCAGGAATAAAGATTTATTATTATTATTCCCGACGATGCTTAAATAAAAACGAAACGTAGAATAAAATGCCCTTATCAATATTTGGAAAGACAGATAACTACTGGAATATAGGCCTAATTTATTTAGGTATAGGCATAGATCAAACACAGAGATTATAGTAATAATTTCGTACAAGTTATAGGCTTACAAGCCTTTCCTACTAGCAGGCCCTGCATCAGTGCCATAAGGGTCTTGAAATGGAAGGGAGCTGATAGGAGTGGGAAGGTGGAGGATCGGTGATTAGGTGAGGGGCTAAATCGCAAAATTAGGTGATTTGATGTGATTTTTAACTACATGAGCATGATTTGTGGGCGGGGAGCCTCTGGGAGATGGGCAAGTTTTTTAGGGGAAAGTCTATAATAATAATAATAATAATAATAATAATAATAATAATAATTATTATTATTATTATTATTATTATTATTATTATTATTATTATTATTATTCATCGCATGGACTTTATTCTCTAACTCTGTCGTGATAATAAAAAAAAGGAGTGCATGGTTTAGTTTCTGGTAGCTTTCGATGACATCTCATCATCTTCGCCAGCCATTTGAACCATATAACAGCCCGATTCAAACGGCTGACGAAGATGACGAGATGTCATAGAAAGCTTCCAGAAACTAAACTATAACTCTGAAAGGTATCTTACACTCTTTTTTATTATTAATATTATTAATATTATTATTATTATTATTATTATTATTATTATTATTACTACTACGGTATTATTATTTTTATTATTATTATTATCTCACCATCATTATTATCACTCGTAGATTTTAGCACGCCTATTAAAAAGGAATCTATCCGATGGTAGAGATGTTTAATTACAATGTATAATTCTCTGTCTTCTTTGCCTTTGTTGAACAAAAGCAGTATCAGCACTCGTTTAGGTGTAGAAATATCCATATCATTACGCATATTCACTGATTTTTTAAAATAATTTTCTTAATATAAAAAAAAAAGAAAAAAGCAATACACTCGCCATTTACAGGATGTAATGATGCTCTATTATTATTTCACAATAACCTTTCCACGCATACTAAGTTTAATCATACACCTCCATGGTTTAATTGTTAGGAATATTGTCTGCAATTCACGATTTGTGAACCATAAAACAAACTTGATTTATGTCTCAGCAATGATAACAATGCCTTCTTCACATAGTTTCCGCCTGTACATACATGCCTGGTGTCCGTGCACAACGTCATAATGTCGATTTAGGTAATGACAGTTGGCTAACAGCACAAGATATAATATTCATATGAAAGTTAATTTTACGTTAAAATAACGTTAGGCTTACAGTGTTTTAGTTAAACCATAAATATGTGTTCATAACATAAATTCCAGCTGATTAAAGTTTGCTAACGTTTCTGAAACGCTGTGCTAACGTCGTTTTCTGACAACTTATGTGAATGTTAAACAGTCCAGAGGGCGGATCTCGGTTCAAATTTAAGAAAAAACAGCAAAAAGAAAGGGAGGTCTTCCCCCAGGGAAATTTGTATTCATAGATGGTGGGAAATGAGTTTTCACGACTTTTGAATTGTCTTTTAATGAATTTTAATTTCTTCAAAATTCTGTGTTTTATTTCCTCTTGAAAACGGTCAGGTACGGTAATTTTTTCTCCTTTTTATTACATTAAATAGGCCTATTATGTGTGTACCGGGCGCAAAAAAACAAAAATAGTAGTTGCATACGTAGCCTATTCCTTTTTCCATATCGATGAACCCCAAAAATGAAGGGGGGTCGAGGTCCAACACCGGGAAAATGTTGACTCCTAGACAGCGTAAAATGAGTTTTCTCGACTTTTGAGTGCGGTTTTTCTCCCCGACCCCCCCGGCGGGGGGGGGGGGGGGTGAGGGAAATATCTTCCCCCCCCCCAATCAACAATGGTGTTCGTCTTCGACTTCGCTATTTTTGCAGAGAATACATTACAAGGGTAATGAAACGGAGTGCGCCTTGTGGAACTGTAAGCACATTGGGGAAGTGTGTGTCCAACAAGAAAGTTCAATGGTGGTGTTTTTCGTCTGGAAGACGAAACACGCTTGGATACCTTTGGATAATGATTTTATGCCAACTTAAGTTAAATTACCCGATATGTGGTTGTAGGCTGGATACCATAATTTTGAATGCTCATACATTGTTTAATTCTAATTACTATAATATATTATCCATTTTCAAGAGAAAACATTCAGTCGCCATTGACAATGGATGCTGTATGACAAACTTGACATAGTACAAATGCTCAAAGTTGACTTTATAATTAATATTGTAAACACTTTTTGTTTTTTTTTAGGTACTTTTAAGCATTTTACAGTTTTTCTTTATTCATTGTCATATGTATCTTTTACGCTCCAATCTGCTTTTTGTGAATTTTGGCATTGTAATGTACAATATATATGCTTATTTATCACGTACGTACGTTTTATTATAACGTACGTACGTGTTATTATTAGACAGTTTGGGCAAACTCCGTATTTGTATGCATATGGATGAAATTCGCGTAATACTTCAGTCTTTGTGTAGTGTCAGGGGCGGACTTAGGGGGGGTGGCCCGGCCCCGGCCCCCTTTTGAGAGGTAAGAAAAAGGAAAAAAGAAAGAAAAAGAAAAAACGATAGCCCAGAACGCCACAAATGTTATTTTCGGGCGTCTAAAACACAGAAATTCGCGGGGGCATGCCCCCAGACCTCCTATTCTAGTGTTGTCTCGATCGGCCCAAATTTCGGCCCCCTTTTGGACATCTCTGGATCCGCCCCTGAGTGTGGCGTCAATACCGTGCGTGATACGGGTCTTCGATGCGTTTTGGCGTATTGAGCCCATTTCACACGCAAGTTGAAAAACATAAGTTAATCTGGTATATTACTTTTTTATGCTTGAAACCAAAAAGCAAATAAAAAAAAAAACAAAAATCCGATCAGAATGACCCAAACTAGTCCCACGACCACTAGTGATTACAGAGCCATACCAAGGCAATATATATACACAGCCCAGGTGTGAATGCAAATAGTGGAATACAAGCTATGTGGCTCGGTTCCAGTAGATACAGAGACTATTTTGTCATTCTTAACGCGTCCTACGAAATTCTTACGAGACAGCACTAGTCCGTGAATTTGTGAACAAGATCGGAGATCTAAAGATGCAATCTCTACCGTGCATCAATGGCGGCCCGCTGGATCTCGACAGGAGTACCACAGTAGTCACTATATTTTATACTAGTGGTTCTCAGCTATTTTTCATTTGCAAACCCTAATAAATGTTAATTGAATTGAATTGAATTGAATTATATAGAATTTCATAATTATAATTAACTCTCGTAAAAATTACACTACGAAATATGTAAATTTAAAAATGTCTAAAGAATAAAAAATTAATTTTAGATCATTTTAGAATTTACAAGACAAGAGTACATCATCCTAATCCAAATCGCAAATATAGATCCATCGGGGGCAGATACCAGAGATGTCAAAAGAGAGGGGAGGGGCTGGAGATCAAGCCTACACAGCGCCGGGGGCGTCCTCAGCCTTGTCACCCTTTTAGGCAGTTAAAAAAGGGGAAAAAATGATCGCCCAAAACGCCTCACAGGTGGTTACATTCGAGCGTCTATCTAGAAAACAAATATTTCGCGCGAATTTATTCGCGCGAATCAAATCTTCGATACGCTTTCTGAGCTCTGATTAGTTGCGCATTTTTTCGATTCGCAAAAACTCCGATAGGATTGTGAATGTGCATGCGCCTTCGATTCGCGCGAATAAATTAGGGCGGTGTTATTTCGATCGGCCCCATTTTCGGTTCCCCTGTCGGACATCTCTGGATCCGCTCCTGCCGGCAGGGACCCTGTCCATTTACGGTAAATGAAATATTAAAGCTCAAACAAAGTTGAATAATTTTTTTTGTAATCCGAACAATAGACAAGAGGTGAACACACGCGTACACATTCACTGCGGCCATGGTATGTGTTTGCACATAAAAATAGCCACCAGTCTAATTTTATCATCTGACCTACTTACTTCACTCTTCCTTTGCAGTAGTGCGCCCACACATTCCTGAAGGCGGCGTACAAAGGATGTCTGCTTCACCCTAAAGAGTACCGTGGGAACCTGTGTGGGCGTTTCTTTCCGATTTTTATAGTTAGTTTCCATGCAACAATTGGCCTTGTGAGTGAAATTTCCGGCTTACTTAATGTCAAAAGAAGCCTGAAACAACCATTAACATTGTAGGCCTATAAATTTTATTTAAACTATATTTTACTATTTCCATTTATTTGTTTATTTTTTTTATAAACATGCCTAAACAAAATATGTATCAACAATGGAAATAAAACAAACAAGAAGATACAAAACCTGTGTCTGCTTCACCTTTCTTTCCTGAAATTATACTGTAGTTAATAATTTCTTTAGTTAATTTCTCTGCAATGAGTGATTTTGTCGGCCTTATGAATA